GTGTTAAGTTTTGAAATTAAATTTTTAAACTTATTGAGAAATTTTAATCGTACTTAGTTTRCAGTGATGGTTAATAAAGAAGCCCTCTTTCCATACGGTTGTAAAGTTCAGCTTTAGCATTTGCATGAGTAAAACGGTGCAATGTTGGGAAAGAAATTAATTTTACTGCTGGGGATAACTTACTTATTAATMATAATACAAYGTATGTTGAAAAAGGAAYATTTCTGGATCATAATTTATAACATAAATGAGCTTTAAGTTTCCGTTTAAAATTGTAMTCTTAAACATTTGCAAATRAAATGAAAAAAAAGAAAAAAAAAACAAAATCATATAATGAATGAATAAGTAACAGCTTTCAAGGCAATAAAGTATATTTTAAGCATGATGACATGATCAATAAAATTCATAGTTGCAGTTGAGGTTACATAAAGATATTTTTGATGCTGCACTCCCATTTTAAATGGTTTATAAAGTTTTTTACCCGAATTACTTTTGACATTCAGTTAGTTCAGAACCAAAGATGTTAATCTCAGTTTTACCTCGAGTATTTAAAGAGCTGGTCTACGGGTTGAAAATGAGGTGCAATCAGCATTAAATTGCAATGCAAATTAATTTTGTTTCGTGAACGTTCCTCCTAAATATCGACTATTAATAACATTTTGGAAAATAATTTGTTTATTTTGTCAGTATTTTTAATTAATTGGCGTTGTATATTAAATGATTTTCAGAAAACTTAACAATAAAGGCATGCTCTTTGTTCATTCATTTTGACCAATGATCCAATTAGGTTTTCGTAATGTTTCTTTAAATATGTTTACTGTGACTTTCATAAACTTCGCTTGTTTCACTTTTTTTGTTCATGCTCATTCAGTACTTGAACTACACGTTATTTATATGACAGACGTTTCTCATCTAAACGTAATATTAAAAACATTTTAGGTAAAAATAATACAGATAACAGATTATTGAAATGTATTTGAGTTGACTGAAGGCAACTGAAGGAACTGATGAAACTCATCCTTAAGAACTTACCTTCGTGTATCAAATTCCTTAAATGATTAGCACCTAATTTAACACTGCATTCAAGTATTGAAGCATTATGATTAATTAGGTATTACTTATCTAATCTAACTTACTTATCAGTGAGATATCTGAATCATCTGATTGATGCAAAAAGTATGCGTTTTTAGAAAATCTACATTAACTAAGACTACTTTGCACTGAACATCTTAAAATGACAACAAATTAGCTAAAAATGTGTGAAAAAAACTCGTTAATTGCCTATTAAATATTTCATTGTTTGGTAAAAATAAGCAAAAACTAAAAACGTCCCGATGAAATAAAAATAAATTCGTTGAATAGCAATATTCTATGTAACGTCAATGATTAGCAAAGCTACATATTGTGCGATTTTCACTCATGTTGCAATTTTGTTTATTATTTACCTATTACTAATATGTAAATATTGAATGAGTTTGAAATTAATTTGAAACATTATAAGGAGATTTTTGATCTGACTTGTTCCGACAGTTTTATTTAAAGCTGCAATATTTTCATAACGCAGAAAAAGCTCTTCAAATAAATTACTTGCTTTAATTTCTGTCTTATGAAAATATTGTTCTCACGGAAGAATGTAATCTACAGTGAGACTGAAATCAATATAATAATAATGTTAATTGTTATTAATCATTCAACGATTCAGAGAAATATTATCAATCTTGCTGAACTGGAAGAACATATAAATCCCTTGAAAGTTTTGTTGTCTTTTTTAACATTTTCAGTTAAATTAATTAATTTACTCACCAACTTTGGTACTTTTATCGTCCACATCACACGTAAGCTGTTTGATTCTTTCCACCAAAGAGTTATCGCTCTTATACGGCTGTTTTTTATTTCTGGGTTCGTAACGAATCAACGATCTGCGTAGCGTATTTCTTTCAATCGCTCTTTTGATGGTTTCATCAGTTTCCCCACTTTGGATGATTTGCGGTAACTTGGAACGTTTCGCCTCTTCAAACGCTCTCAGAGATTCTGCAGTTACCAGATACTGAAAAAAAAACATACTATGTAAAAAATGTAAGGGAAATTATAAGTAATTAAGGTAGATTGATGGATGACAGTTCAAATGGTAAATCGTCAAAAATTACAGATTTCTCATAACAAATAATTGATGCTACAAATAGTCATATCCGAAAGGAAGAATGTAGCGCATAAAATAAACAAAAATTACATAAAATCGGCCAATTTGGAGAAGTATGGAAAATTTCAGTTACATCCATTACATATTCTAATAGAATGGAATAATGTATTACAAACCCGCATTATTGAATTTGAAACTGTTATTGCGAACCTTGAATAAGTACGGTAAAATAAATCACTTAGTTGATCAAAAAACTTGCTATTTGCTATTCTGCATTAGCAAAACTCGTTTACAATTTTCAACAATGCATCTTCTAAAAATGCTGAATTAAATTAACATGTTAATTCAATCAAATTAAAATTTTATTGCGTTTACTAAGAAGAGAAGAAAGACGCAAATTATAGTTGATTAAGACAAAATAAATAAAGTGTTGATTAATAGAAAATATGACTTGCATTAATTATTAAAGAACGCAACTTTGGAAAAATATAGGACTTATTCCGTACTAATCTTGATTTTGTCTGACTATCTGGGTAAAAGTTGCATAAGATGGCATTATTAAAGTCTCACTTTCATCGTTAATAGAAAACTGAGAGATAATCATAAGGTTAAGGTTCTCATTAACAAGACATCTACCACGGGTTTCTTTAAGAAAATTCATCAAAGGCAAAATCACAGCTTTTTTAATGTTGAACGATAAATTGCAATCAAGCACATCATGATTCAGATGATGATCAACTTGAAGCTTCAAATTACCTGTTGCGAATTCTCTTCTTCCTCGACGCCTTGAGCTGCAGCTAAATTTTTCGTGCAAGGAAACAGTTGCCGAACAGCCGAATTCGGCTTCAAACTATTATTGGAAATTAATACGTGATTGCCCAATTTAAACGTTAATGTCATTTCGGGAGCATCCGGTGAGCTTCCGGGCATAACTTCTTGTTTAGCGTTTGACTGTGCAGGCTCATTAACAATCCGGTCCTTTTGGGCTCGAGTTTCCTCATCGGGAGAACTCTCCGGTGCTCCATCGCAACTATCTCGTTTGCCTCGTTCCTCTGATTCAATGAAGCGCACCGATCTTCTATTGCCAGTTTCTTCGTCTGAAGTAACCGAATCAGAAGACTGGAAAAGATCAGGGTCTAATTAAGAGGGAACTGAGCAGCGTCGATGCCAACTTACCAATAAATTTAGATCAGAATTTTTTGCATAGTGCGGATCTGCGCTCTGCTGGCTTTGCTGTTTCCACAATCTGCCTCCTTTCAAGATGCCACTGATTGGAGAACCTTGTGGTTGAGGTTTTTCAGTTATTTCAGTAGGTTTGGGGCTTTGGTATTGGGGTGGGATCCTGTTCATGGGCATTGTCCCCAGAATGTAATTTTGATTGTTTGAGCTTCCTGCAAAAAGTTTAAAAGTGAGTTTATTTATTATAAAAAGTATGGATCATGAACATAAATATAATGCAATAAAAACTGCGCTCTTTCCATTTGGATCATTAGTATGTATTCAATACAAACAATATATGCTAGGTAACTATTAAAGATACTGCAAAAGATTTAAGAATGAGATTTATCCGTTTAAATGGGAAAAATACATAGAAATCTGAAAAACGTTTATTAAAATAAAAAAGGGCTGTTGTGCTTCTTCAGTAACACAACTTACCTTAAGATTATTATAAACTTGAATCTCAATATTTTCAGGTTTCATAGATCGAATTAAAAAAAAATACGTATGTATTTAAATATTTCCGAAAATTTCAAAAATACGAATTATGCACTAAATTAAAAATACAATTTCATAATCCAAAATTTGCCTGAAATGGCTCTCGATAACATTCGTTATTTACCGTTGCTACATTATCCGCCTCGTTTTAATTAAAAATTGTTCAATTATGGCTACATTCTGCATTGAGCAACAAAAAGTGATACATTTTGGACAAATGGCTTTACAATAGAAAATTCCTGGATTTTGAAAGAAAACTCGCATCTACAGGAAAAACCGCTTGGATCAATATACATTTGGCAAAGTATTACTACGAGTATAACTGAAGATTCCACAAAGAACATTTCGAAACTTGCTCATACCTAAGAAATATTTCTATAAATTTTTCTTAAAAAATCACAATGGCAACCGTCCATCTAAGAAAATATGTGTTGATAAACCAGTCAGCTTCAGATGTCTTATCAATGTTACATTTGTGGTTAGTTCTTAAATTGTGTGCTTCAAACTTGAGTTGAATAGAAACAAGCACAAACGAGAGGCAATAAAAATTTTTCAAGGTGGATATGCAGGTTCTCTATGATCTATGAAAAGTTGAACAAAACTTGGTATGCAGTAGCATCTTGCTACATCTCTTCAGTTCAGTCAACATTTTAATCAGAAAACTTCATTTATCAGCAATAAGCAATACGAGATTCTAATATTATTTCAAGCAATGAAAACTAATGTTCTGAAGTAAATTTGAAAAGTTTTGTAATAAAACTCATGTAATGAGACTTCATATTGAAATTCCGCGCAAAATTTACAAGCAAATATGGAATTTAGCTTCTAAATTGGCCTTGGGGGTTTTATTTACTTAATTAGCAATTTTTCGGTGATAAAAATTCGTCCAATTTGGCGCCCTCAATTTTGAGCCAGTCTCCATCTATTTTAACGATACTAAACAATAACATCTAATTGATAATTTCTTCTCTGCTGCTGCTTTCTAATACATTTATAATTTTAATAAATAATGTCGCCTTAATATTTATCCTCTTTGTACCCTCTAACTTGTTTACGCAGGTTATTATTATCCTTAATGATAATGACTTGCCAAATTTAATTTATTTTTAGAATAAACGTCTTCAATATTCGTTCACTTCCTGGTTAGCGACAACCCAAACAGGAGTAATACTTTCAAGGGGAAATATTTAATATTCTCCCTATTTGAGGAAAATTTACCGACGAAGAAAGCCTTAATCGAATTATTTGCCGCATCGTCGGCCCCACACGCTTTCTCGAAACGGTTTATTAATGAAAATGACCCAATTGCTCGATATTGTAAGTTCCTTTTCACTGTTATAAGTCACACTAAAATATGGGAATAATATTGAAATTTGAATATTTACGGACAATATTTGAAGCGTAGCTGTTCAGTAAAACAAATTAAAATTATCAATCCAAAGCTTATACTTATTCTTCCAGGGAAGGACTCACTAGGCACTGATTTGCCTGTTTCAAATTAAAAAAATTATATAAATATAGGCATATTTCTTTTTTCAACGCTCATTTATTTAACAAAAATGTACGTACAAATCCTATATACTAATAGTGTTTTTGATAAATTATCAGGGCATAGTTATAATATTTTGAAAACAATATTCGGAATTCTAAAAAACGCCATGCAAATAAAGAAAGGATTAACGTAATGAAAAGTGTACAAAGGAAACAACACTTATATCATCTAAGAAATGACGCCTGTGTTAGCTTTTAGCGCAAACCTTCCAATGCGCTATTAAAATTAATACTCTTTGAAATATTCCTCTATTCAATCTTCATTTACTTCAGCAGGCATCTCCTTCCAGTTGTAACAATTATATTTAAGGATGATTATTTGCGAATACTCTGAGAGCATGTACTTTGGATAAAAGTGGATATTAATCGTGCTGATGAACGGAAATAAGACATTTCCGCATTATTTTGCTCTTTATGAGTTGTAGGCCATTACTGCTTATTAATTGTTGAAGGAATTTAATGCGGGAGTTATTAAAATGGCTTTAAGGAGAATTAACGCGAAAAATCAATGATAGCAGAAGGTCCTTGAAAGTATCAATGAGAAAAATTAACACTACTTTTGCCAATTTTTCTTATTTATCTTCGAGCTCAGTCTTAAAAAGAATGCACGTTTGACTGTAATAAAAAATGTTAATCTCACAGGAGAGTTTTATCAGTATGATTAAATCCCAATCTCTATTTCATTGTTCATTTTCCTGGCTAGTTCCGTAAAGTTGAACCAATTATATTCCTGCTGGGGATTCTAGAAATGTGGCAGAAGAAGCGCATACGTTGTTCCAAATTAAATAGCCGAATAAATGCTGTTCATGAATTCAGAACAAAGCTATTATGTTGTTGAGTTGGTCGGAATCAAGAAATAAAGCTAAAAGTTCTGTCTGGCAGTTTCTGCAGGTATAAATATGAACAATAAAATCCGCAGGCAATTCTAAAGTCGCTGTAGTATATGAAGCAGCTGGACAGGAATCGTTTATTCAGCGCAAGATTTTTCTCATGCCTAACATTTATCAAATCAACCCAAATGAGATTTTTGTAGAATCAACGTTTTTAAGGTTCGCCAAAAGATGAACAAGAACGCATGAAATTCATACAGTTCTTTATAAGACTCAGCTTATAAAACGTGCTGATTTCTAAAAAGTTTGCGCATTTGTTCAACTAGGAAAAGGACAATTTGAAGTTAAAAAATACTCAAACTTTTCAAAAACGAACGGTTTATCCACGTGTCGCATGTTTCTGGTTGGAGAAACTATTTTTCTGTTTTAACGTAACGAGCCAGAAAGAAGATCGCTCTGAACTTCCAGGACGTTGTCTAATTTTATTATGAAACTTGGATAGTTGGAAATGATCTCTTAACCATTTTAGAATCGTCTGCAATGCAAACACATCCCGGATATAACACTAGTGTAAATAATATTTTGGTAGATATTAAATCGCAACTGTTTGCATTAAAATCATCGCTCTTGACGGAGATCGTATTCCAGGAATGCAGTAATGAATGTAGAAATTGTCCCAAGAGATCGATTGTTTTTACTGGCTGAAAATTAGACATTAATTTCCGAGCAAACGAAACTTGCTGTTTACCCAGCAGCTTCCAGTGATAGCAATTGTTCCGGAATATCGCTGCTGGCTTTTTAGTCTCAGTCTCAACGGATTCAACTATCGCATCTCCTCCTCATGTAGGTGTGTGGAAAGTTATTAAAAGTTCTGTATTGGATACGTTTTCCTACTCCAACTAGTCATACAGTCAGCAACAATAATAATGCAAAACTAATTAAATATATTTATTTATCTACCTGGCTGTTTTGGGATTTATTAATTAGACAATTTATGCTCGACATTGTGGGTAATTGCTTGATAGTTCGAAGCTCGATGCCCGGTTTAGCCATTTTGTAAGTACAGATGTATTCAGCCAATTAAGTAATTGGTCTCGGATTAAAGTGAATCTGGTTTTCGGCAAACGACTGCTAGAGGTTTCTTAATCAAGATTATGTACAGGATTTGGCACATTTCCCTTGGCAGCAATTGCGCAAAATGGGGTGTTTATGATCATCTTTATGACCGAAAATGCTCACCATATGTATGTTATTTATGTAACAAGTTGGGTAATAAAAAGATCTTTATTACTCTTTCACCAGTGTCGCGTAATTTATCAATCAATTCCCGGCTCGTATACCTATAATTATCAAATACAACAAATTTTAAGCTGTTTCAATGGAATATGTTTTAGCAACAAAAATAAGTTTACACATACATCTTTTCGAGACGTATTTTTCAACAATAGTCATTTATTTTTTCACATCTTGTAGTAAATATTATATTTATATATACGTGAATTTTAATTAAGATTCTCAGGTCGGACAGGACTGAGCCGGATGAAGAGTGGCTATAAAAGTAATAGGGGTAACAAGTATGCAAATTTCCACTGTTTCATGTCATGTTTTTACTCGAATTGCTTCTTGAGCAGCATCTAGAAATTATATTAACTTCGCTATTAAAATTGCGAAACCTACGAGAAACAATTATAATACGCCATCATAAATAAATTATTAATTGTCAGAAAATATTATTTCATCATCACAGACTACATCCAAATAACAGTCTATATGGTTTAGATCAGGTGATTGAGCTGGTCAGTTTCATTCAGCCAATTTCTCACATTTTGTTGGTTATTAATATGCTATTTTAGTTTCACAACAATTTTACTAGAAAGTAAACCATACATATTTTCATTCCCGAAAAATGTACATAATATGCATACTATAATCAAATGGTCACGCTTTTAATTCTTCATCTAGTTTCTACATATCAGTATCCATAATAATAATATTATTATTAATTATAAATATTAGATATAAATATGAGTTCTTTGGAAGCACGGAAGGTCCCCTTTTGTTAGTTTTATTTAGTTTATTATTTTTTACTACAAATTTTACAGTTTTAGATGATTATTTTTTTAGAAAAATTCTGTCTTATTGTAATACATTCTTATTGTCGGTTATTCGTCTAGTGTACATTATAAAGAACTATTCTTCGTCCTTTTCATTTGTTATAAGGTGTAAATTGAAATGAAATCATAAATGTATTTTATTTTCGTATTATTTCCTGTGATTTACGAAACTATTCTAAT